ACAATTCGATTTCGATTCACAAACTTGCGATTCGATTTCAATTACGATTCGATTCAATATTGATTATTTTGGATATCAGTTACAATAAATGGCAATTTTTCTCAAGGGAATCAAATCTCTTAAATGCTGTAAACTATGGGAGTCTAGTTGTAGCCTATAGGCTTCATTAACCTATTATGAAGGTAATAATGAACTGTTTTGTAGCTATACAAACACTTAAATTACACTTTTATTTATTTTTATAATAAGAAGATTATGTGAAATATAAACATTTAAATGGTGACTGTCATAAAAACTTGCCAGATTTATTCAAATATGTATTAAATATTGAAGAACATTAAGATTATAATGCATATGTAATATGGTGTATATATTTAGCAAAATGCTCCTCTGGAGTTATTATTCCTAGCTGACTAACGAGTTTATGTGGGTTTTCTGAGGTAAATATGACGATACATTGATTACAAGCTGTTTAACTGACGTCTTTCCACGGTTGAAGCGCTGATTGAGCGAATCAATGTGACATGATCCGGATTTGGATAAGTTGTACTCTATCTTTAACACACTTTCAGATGCTCATTCATGTTTATTTGGCGCTGTGACTGGTATTATTAAGCCGGAAGTGAGATCAGCGCTGCTGCTTCTCCAGAGCGATCTCACGCCACAAAATTGAATTTAAGAAAATGGACGTAATTTGAAAATTGAGACTTTGTTTCATATCAATAGTAACAAGGATAAAGATTATTGCGTTTTTTGGATGCGCGCAGCCGCGATACAATGATCCATTCATTCAAATGAAACAGGATGACTAATCGATTCTTGAGATTTAAGAAACGATATCGGTTCGTAAAAATGAGAATCGATATTTATTACCCAGCCCTAATATGTAGGAACATAGACTTACGATATCATCCTCATAGTCGACGTCAGGTTCGGAGGGCGGCGTGCAGAACTGTTTGCTCTCTAGTTTGAGCTGGAGCTGTCGAACCTGCCGCCTCAACACCTCCACCTCCTGTTTGTAATTAGATTCGATCTGTCGCAGCCGCTGCTGCACCGCGTCCACCGCCACCGGCAAACCGTCATCGTCCAGGTACGCGGGCGTCTGAGATGGAGCCAGAGATCCGCCTGAGGAGGGTGAGAAATGGGAGGGTAGAAGCTGCCGGAAGGACGGCCCCATTGCTAACGAAGAGGCGGCTGAGGAACACAGTGCAGCGTAGCTCGAGTTCTTCACGGCGGAAAACCAACCCGACTGGATCGGACTTCCAGGAGTGCGCAAAGGGTCACGGCGACAACACGGCCCACCGTTTGCACTTCCACCTTGGGCGCGAAGAAGCTTGTTTGCCAGTCGACGGCCATGATAGCTCCCGTGTTGAATGGCGTCACCGCAGGCCGACTGGACGAGGCCCTGGACGCTGTCCCATTGGGAGCCAAGTAGGGAAAGATCAGTCAACTGGCTTTGGGAAATAAGACGCCGTGCTGCTTTGGCGTAGTCGGCAGGGGGTGGCCGTTCTCTCACAGGAACAAGTTCTCCGTTTCTTAACGCATCAGTCTTTTTTGCTTCGACAGGGATGTGCGATTCAATCCCAGCTGGAGCGATGGCGCTTTGCTCCGTTAGAGTCTCCACGGATGCCTCCATTGGAGAAAAGCGTTCGAGCTCGGAGTCCAAAGAGCCGCTAGTGTTTTCTACGTGTGCAAAAGGTGAATTTGAGGTTGTGGAAGTGATTTCTGCAGTCCTGACTTCCTCTTCCTGTGGTAAAGGTGGGAGGGGACTGATTGGAACTGGAGGCGGGGCTTGATTTAAAACCGGAAGAGGCGGGGCCTGATCTAATGCTAAGGGGTGGGGCAAAGTCGGCAATGGCTGGGTTGTCAAACAAGGCTCCACCCTTACATCGTCCTCATGTTGCTCACAAGATAATTCCTCGCACGTCTCCAACTCCTGCTCATCGCTGACCAATCTAGTGATCGACGTGTCTTGGATCGCCAACGGCTGATTGGACTCCAGCGCTGGCCGTCCCTCCTGGCAGTGTTTGTTCAGGTTAGGGTCACTTGAGGTGCGAGTGAGCGTCACGCCGTTCTCACAAGCAGACACCAAGTTGTCCATCGACCGTGTTTTGGGGAGCCTGAGTGAATGGAAAAACACAAAATGTCAATATACTTCAGTTTTCCACAAGAGGGCGCAACACACAACTGAAAGCATCTCAGTACAGCGACTGATAAATGTTTATAAAAAAAATTAGGTTTTTATAAATAAGGCTTATTTTTCATAATATACAATAAACAAACAAGTTTTATATTAACAAAAATATATATTTTGCTTAAAAAAAAGGCAAGTTAAGCAAAGTAAATACATTATAAAAATAAAACAATATTTGATAAAAAATATTTAATGCTTCATAAATACTTTGCTTTTTGCTTAACAAAAATACTGTCTTAGTGACATTTGTGATGTTTTGTTCATTTGCTAAATATTTATAAGGCAAGTAAAGCAAACTTAATATTTTGTAAAAAATGATTAAATGCTTAATTAAAAATTACTTGTTTTTTTGTTCAAACATACAGACACATGTCGGTGCAAGTAAAGCAAACATTGCTTTATAAAAAATAAAATATTAAATGTACAAAATGTAATACATTAATAGTTTTAGAAATATATGCTTATTTAAGAAAAATAATGGCTCAAAAATATTGTCACAAGGGCAAAGAAAACTAAATATTTTATAAAAATGAACATTATTTAATTTTTTATAAAAATGTAATGCTTTATAAAAAAATACTTGTTAAGGTTTACAAAAAATACAATGATTTTGTAAAATCACCAAGGCAAGTAGAGCCAACAATATTTTATTAAAAAACAGTTTTTTTTCTTTATACTAAAGCTTTATATATTAACAGTACTTTTTTTTTTTTGTTTAATAAAAATAATGACACCTAATATTTTGCGTAAAAACACATTAAAAATGTCGCCAGGACAAGTAAAGCAAACTTGATGCTTTGTAAAAAAATACGTTTAATGCTTTTTTAAAAATGATTTCACACCTTATGAATCTGTAATTTACAGGCAGAAAGTCTGCTGAAACCCGACACCTTTGCATCACAATATTACTTTCGGGAAAGTTGAGTGGAACTCGGCCAAATGCAGATTTATCGAAGCAATATGCAGACAAGTGTAATTGGCACGTGGGTAATGTAGTGCACTAGATTTAGTAGTGTAGTTTACTTGGAATTGTGGGATATGTAGTACAAATAAATTTCATATATATATATATATATATGGGGAAAAAATTCACAAGTGTAATGTGCTGTACACTGAGCTGAGCGTGAGCGGTCACCTGTCGAGCGAGCGCGAGGTGAACTCCTCTCCTTGTGCTGAAGGGCTCAGGTAGATCTCCATGGCGTCTTCGGCCGCGGTGCACGGTGATGATGTAGGCAGATAAACGGCCGTCCACAACTGAAGAGCCCGCGTGTGACATACAGGCTGCAAAACCTGCAACAGAGGCAATCATGTATAAAATATTTATATATAATATAAATTAACAAATTTTACTTAAATATAAAAAAAATATGCCAGCCGCGTGAAAAATGCTTTGGCGGCCTTAGTATCATAATTAACCATTTTTTTGCAGCATTGACTGCTTAAGGCTGATTACAGACCTCGTTTTATAATGAATGAACTTAGAGTTATTGAACTGAATCAACACTGAGCTGAATGAAGACACTAGCTGCTTTATTTATTTTCCAGTTTATTACTGAAACTATCTGTTCGGTATAAAGCGCTGTAGAAAAGAAGGTGACATGACTGTGTGTGTGTGCTGACCATATCATGGCAGGGGATGTAGAGGAAGTTCTGGAAGTTCTTGTTTCCGGTGCGAAGGAGAGACCAGACGGAGCATGTGCGTTTATAGACGTTTCGAGCCTCTCGCTCTTTTGCGTTATTGCACAGGAAGGTGCCGTACAGACAGGAGTACGTGTGCTGAACCAGCTTCACCTACAACAACAACAGAGTTAATCAGTACAACATCTATCCAGCCAATCAGGAGGCTTCAAACTCTACCGACTGATTATGATGGGAACCATGTTGTCTGGCTGCATTGTATCACATTTTATATATTTTTTTAAGTTCCCCTGTGGTGAAAATCAAGATTTTAATGTTGTTTATGTGTTGTTTATGTGGTGTTTTTAAGTTCATAAGTCGACAGCAGTGCTGAGTACTTTCTGCTCAAAAACAAAGTTTGAAATCGCCAGTGTTTAATTCTGACATCACAAACGACCTTGTAACCAATCAGATCAACGTGTGAGTGAGTGTGTGAGTAGAGGCGTGGCTCATTTGCATATTCATAGAACCACACACACTAAATGAGGCAAGGGTGTCGAGTTACATTCAAGCTATTTTAAGGCATAAATACATTTTTTTTAAATGTCATTTTAGTGATCAAAGATGAGTTTTAAGGAATACGGTGCATTAGGAAAAAATATAAATGTAGCTCAAATTCTGAGGCTTCTTTGTTAATTAAATCAATGTTTCATATCTCAAGGTATGGAAAACAGGCAGCTGATGTGTTGATTGGCTAATTACTTTTTTTCCAGTTGTGACCAAATATACAGTATATACACATGAAATGTGAGTCTCTTAATCGCATCCAAAATAAAAGTTTGTGTTTACATAATATATGTCTGTGTGGTATATAATTAATTTGTATATATAAATACCCACACATGCATGTATATATTTAAGAAATATTTGCTTGTATATACTTTATATATATTTACACATAATTCATATTATATATAAATATTTGATATATTAATAACACATTTTTCTTAAATATACACATACATGTGTGGGTATTTATATATACGAATTAATTATACACACACACATATATTATGTAAACACAGACTTTTATTTTGGATGCGATTAATCGTTGCTCATCCCTACTCTACTGTAGATAAAAGTGAAGGCTTGTTACCAGAAAGGCCTCGTTGAACTCGAAGAGGCAGGGGAACTGCTTCAGGAGCTGATGAACACAGTCCAGCCACTGCAGGAACACCGGACACTGTTCGCTCACGTCATCGCTGTTCTCCTGATGACCACAGCGGTCTGCGAACTTGTGCCCGTAATCCAACCACTCGGTCTCCACCAGCACCTGGAAACCCTGCGGACACAATCCCAAAGATGACTGGAGATCCAGAAGATGCAGCTAATGTAATATAATCGACATATCTGCACTGACACCATCAGATGAGAACAAAATTAACTGATTACACACTATTTATTTATTTATCTATCTATCTATTTATTTATTTATTCAGGACAGTGCATATTAATGAACATTTCTGTATAGACTGTAAATAAACCAGGTTATAGCATAAATGCTAATTTTCACCAGTAGTCCAACTTTACAGAGATAATAGGAAAATAATGCAACAAAGTTTGAACACACTTTTTTTAATGTCTACTCACTATAGTAATGCACTTTAAATGCACTTATTTATCATTTTAATCAATATTTGTAGTTATTTACTAGGGCTGGGTATTGAGACAAATTTCACAATTCGATTCACAAGCTTGCAATTCGATTCGATTTCGATTCGATTCAATATTGATTGTTTTGGATATCAGTTACAATAAATGGCCATTTTTCTCAAGGGAATCAAATCTCTTAACTAATGCTGTAAACTATGGGAGTCTAGTTGGGCTTCATTAGCCTAATATGAAGGTAATAATGAATGAATCACTTAAATTACACTTTTATTTATTTTTATAATAAGAAGATTATATGAAATATAAACATTTAAATGGTGGCTGTCATAAAAACTTGCCAGATTTATTCAAATATGCATTAAATATTGAAGAACATTAAGATTATAATGCATATGTAATATGGTGTATATATTTAGCAAAATGCTCCTCTCTAGAGTTATTTTTTCTAGCTGACTAACGAGTTGATGTGGGTTTTCTGAGGTAAATATGACGATACATTGATTACAAGCTGTTTAACTGACGTCTTTCCACGGTTGAAACGCTGATTGAGTGAATCAATGTGACATGATACGGATTTGGATAAGTTGTACTCTATCTTTAACACACTTTCAGATGCTCGTTCATGTTTATTTGGCGCTGTGACTGGTATTATTAAGCCGGAAGAGAGATCAGCGCTGCTGCTTCTCCAGAGCGATCTCACGCCACAGCGCCAAAACACTATTTATGTTTTTGAATTTCTAAAGAAAATGGACGTAATTTGAAAATTGAGACTTTGTTTCATATCAATAGTAACAAAGGACAAAGATTATTGCGATTTTTTGGATGCGCGCAGCCGCGATACAATGATCCATTCATTCAAATGAAACAGGATGACTAATCAATTCTTGAGATTTAAGAATCGATATCGGTTCGTAAAAATGAGAATCGATTAATATCGAGAAATCAATATTTATTACCCAGCCCTATTATTTACACTAATAAATTGATTAAATTACATCTAATTAAACATTTAATTAGATTAACTTATTCATATTTATTGATTTATTTTATTAACTGTTTTCTCCAGAGCGGCTGTATAGAGAAATTATTTCAGCATTTTATATTACAAAATGTATATATTACAAAAAATGTCATATTACAGCACATTTTTTCAGCAAAAATGAATGAACAATCACTGAACTCACTTAAGTTAGACTATGACACTATTTTCTTGCTGTACATCTGAAAACAAACTTTGTAGCATTATTTTCCTGTTGTCTCTGTAAAGCTGCTTTGAAATACTCTGTGTCGTAAAAAGCGCTATATAAATAAAGGTTACAGGTGACTTTTTAATTAATTTGTTTACAGTAGTCAATCAAAAAAGTTCAAAGTTTTCCTAAGACAAAAACGGGTATTGTTCAAAAGTCATGTATAACTTTGAAAAAAGGTTTTGATCCACTTACATTTTTTTATGGCTAAATTTCACATTCATAAATGCAAATTTTCCGGTAAAAAAAACATGTTTTATTGCATTTAAAAATGAAGTGAAGCATTATATTGAGTCAACATTGCCCTAGAAGAATTTTACATGCATGTAGCCTAAACTATTTATTTATTTATTGGAGAAATATAAAGAGTACAGGTATGCTTAACAGAAATGAAATCCAAATATCTTCTGCATGCAAAAATCTATCAGATATTATAGTTCCTTCTGCAGTTGTTAATTATATATATACATACGTTTGTACAAACACATTCACTAACATGCCACCTACACACACACATACAGAATGACTAGTGTATTTTGTATATTGTTACGGTTTTCCTGTTTTAAACAGCACTTGTTCACATTTACCTCTATGGTCCTGTAGAAGGGATCCAGAAGGATCTTTGCGAGGGCCACGATCTGCGGGGTGCGATCCCATCCGTCTGAACAGTGGACGAGCACCGGACGTCCCTCGCGCTCCACCGCGGAGCACACCAGAGTCGCGGCTTTCAGCATGACGGACAGATGCTGGAGCCAACGGGTGCTTTCCAGAGCCGAGAGCCAACTGGACACAGCAGAGCGACAGCGGGTTACAGAGGCAGAGACTAGACCCGATGTACTGAAGATCATGCGATATTCCATATGTGATACGATAATGATGAAAACGTGTAAAATAAACTTGAATTATCTTTAAAGGTGCATTGTGCAAGTCAAACTACGCCCCCTCTGGCGACAAGCGAAACTGCAACCAGAGGTGTGCACGCTCAAAAAAGTTATTCAGTGATTTTCTTTTGTTCATGACCCGTTATTGCAAGCCGTTGCGATATGCATATCCCGATATCTAAATTTGTCATGTTTCAATACATTGTGCAGCCCTAGTGGACACTGTGTGTGAAGGGAGAGCTGAAAATAACTTCAGATGTCATTGATGCATGCAACATGCAATCAACTCGACTTATTCGTTATTGTTAATATCTCAGACTTTGGATCTTTACATATATAATGCAATTTAAAAGTATTCTGAATGCATTAATTATGCCATATAATGCATTGTATACTCTCCTTAAAAATTGTAACCGCAGTTATTTATCTATTCATAGTACCTTACGAAGTATAATGCATTTAAACACGACAAACAACCAATTTAAGATGTAAAAAGGCATCATCATTTTAACTTTAACGTATAACTTTTCATAAATAATTGTTAGAATGTACGTAGTGAATACATTTATGATACACTGTACAAATGGTGTTAATTAAAATTGCTATACATTCGATGCTTTACTCGTCCGCCACGATAACACGATATTTTTGGAGGCTTTTATTTTAATTTTCTCAGCTAATGTTTTTTATATACATTTAAATATAATATTTTAAATTTAATCTACAACCATTCAAAAGTTCGGGGACAGTAATTTAAAAAAAAAAAGAATTAAGACAATTTGCATTAAATTGATCAAAATCATCGTATTAGAGTGATTTGTGAAGCATCATGTGACACTGAAGACTGAAGAGTAATGATGCTGAAAATTCACAGGAATAAATTACACTTTACAATATATTCACATAGAAAACAGACATATAAAATGTTAATAATATATCATATTTTTTCATTATTTTTGATCTTGGTGAGCAGAAAAGACTTGTCAAAAACATTTAAAAAAGGAGTGTGTGTGTGTAAATTTCAGCACTTACTTGCCGGGATCCGGGATCTGACTGCAAACCGCTCGCAGCGACTGAAAGCTGTTTCTGATGGAGTGGATGTTGGCCATGCCCATAAACATCACCTCACAGTTGGGATAGTACTCTAAAACACAAATAAACCAGAGAGAAGTCAACAAACACACAACAGTCCAAAGCTGTGAATTCAACTCATGCGCACAGCTGCAACTATTGAGAATGAAGCAGCGTTTCCATCCCATCAAGCACAAAACATCACTTCATGGGAAAGTCGTGCAAAATATGGGATCTGGGAAGAAACTGTCTTTTTTCCCTCCATCATAAATGAGTTTCAGACGAAACACAGTAAACGCTGTCATGTTCTCTTGCGTTCGGATGCTGGTGTTTGTGAGGAAATTAAACAAAATCATGATGACAGACTTGGACCAAACCAACATCTGAGATGCTGTGATGTGATTGGTCCACTGGGTTAGTCCAGTTATCCAGGGCAAAGTCACTTGAGTTTAGAGCCAGACTGATATTATCGGCCGATATTAGGCATTTTCCAAACTATCGTTATCGGCAGTTATAATGGCCGATAAATGAATATTTCAAAAATAAAATAAAAACGGACGAAACACGTTTGAACCATGTCATGAGTGTTGGAGTTGTATAGTTTGTCCACCAGAGGGCACTCTACACCGTTCCTGTTGGCAACACTCGTTGAGTTGGTCACGAGACATACATTGCTGGAATAACAATTAAAAGAACGTCCCCATCAGTTCTCTTACCTCAAATAAGCATGACAACATTTGTGACTATCATGTCCAGTTTTGCTGCAGTTAAATAAGCGAAATTATCTAGTAATAGTTACGTTATGTTGTTTCAGTGTATTTGACTGATTGTCCTTTTAACTTTTGACGATGTGACTGAAGTATTTCTTTAATAGCACATGACAGTTATAGCAATGAGACGGATCATCTCTCCTCGGCCTGTTATATTGAAAATGTATGTTTTACAATTTGCAGTATGACGTTATCCATTGCTAAATCATAGACTAGCTAACCATAAAGCTAGCTAATGCCACTCTCATCAGTCTGTTCTGTTGTGACAATAAATGAAACAAGTTTCTTTTTAAAATGCATTATCATGTTATTTTAGTTAAAGGACAAGTTCGGTATTTTACAATTAAAGCCCTGTTTTAAGATCGTCCCTGATGAAATAGAATAGTTAAGATTGTTTTTTAGTCAAATGCTCCTGTCACGAGAATTTTTGGATTCTGTGTTAGCACCCCCCCATAGGTGCACTCGAACAATCATTCATAAAAACGCATTAAACTTTAGTTTACAAAGACATGAAACTCGTCGAGTGGTCTGGGGTGTTCACTGATATGCTCACACAAAAATCGCTGCAAAAGATGCTTTCCAACAGGTTTTATCGTAGTTTTTGTCCAAGGCCATTTTCTTCCCGTTTTTGGTCGAAGTCCACAGTAGTCGATTGTCGAGTTTGTGTGCGCGATCCTTAGTTATCTAGTTACCAATGATCGCGCACGTGAACAAAAACTACGATAAAACCTGTTGGAAAGCATCTTTTGCAGCGATTTTTGTGTGAGCATATCAGTGAACACCCCAGACCCACCCCAGAGCAGCATCTGTCTAAAAAACAATCTTAACTATTCTATTTCATCAGGGACGATCTTAAAACAGGGCTTTAATTGTCAAACTTGCTACAAATAACTAATGTTAGGGAAATCTGTTAATGTTTTGTTGCGAGTTTCTAAAAAAAACTAAAAAATAAATATCGGCCGATATATCGGATTTTAAAACCCAAAAATATTTGTATCGAAATCGGCCTTCAAAATCCTTTATCGGTCGGGCTCTACTTGAGTTATTTATTTGGTAAATGCGTTTCCATTGTTTATGTGCACGTCTTCTTATTGGATAAAAAAGTTTTTCGCATCAATTAAGCGCATGTTTTTTATGCACATTTCTTTGAATTCACGCATTTCCATCCAGCACTTTTTATGCAATATCCTAAAGTGGATGGAAACAGCTAGTGATGAAATGAAACTACCTTCACACTCGCAGCCTCCACCTTTGGCACGGTTCGCCACGGCGGCGGTGTATGAGCGGGCATCGAGAATCAGCAACTTCTGGGCCGCGGCGCTGGCGTCAGGAACGGGACATCCCGTCAGAGACGAGTCTGAGGACAAAACAGAGTGCATGAGATTAGAAAGAAATACTGACATGATCCGCATACGAGGGGCAGATATTAACAGGTCTAGGGGCAAATAATGGCATGAAAATATCCCCCAAATCCAAGATAAGGGACCAAAGATATATGCATTACTTTACAATAAGGTCCCATTAGTTAACATGTTATTAACATTAACTATATGTGTTACTGTATTCATTAATCTGTAACAAATCTTGATAATCTGTTAATGTTAGTTGCCAAAAACAGTTGATTTTTAGTTCATGTTAACTAATGTTTACAAATATAACCTTATTGTAAAGTGTAACCAAAATTTCAATATTACATCAAGAGCAATAATCGACAATGATTTTTGAGTTATTTTAATGAGTTATTATTGCGAGAGTTATTTTTAGGGCTGTCAAACGATTAATCGTGATTAATCGCATCCAAAATAAAAGTTTGTGTTTACATAATATATGTGGGTGCACTGTGTATAATTATTTTGTATATATACAAAGTACACACACATGCATGTATATTTAAGAAAGAAAATATGATATATAAAATATTTATATTTGCTATAAATTATATATAAATCTATATACAGTATATACATAAAAATATTTCTTAAATATATACAAGCATGTGTGTATTTATATACATATAAAATAATTATACACAATGCACGCACAAATATTATATAAACACAAACTTTTATTTTGGATGCGATTAATCGCGATTAATCGTTTGCCAGCCCTACTTATTTATAATTTATATACTTTATGTAAGCTATTTACATCATGCAACTGTCGTGTAAATACATGTATGCCAATATGAGCAATATTAAACAGTGAATAAAACATAAATGCATGTCAGACATTAAAAGATAGCTTTTGTTGAGGGTAACAGTCTATAATTGTGAAAGTGTTTGGCATAAGATGGATACAATTCTTGAAACTGAAAAATGCAAATTACACCATCAAAAACAGTCTGCAATAAACATAAGTTAGACCGTCTAAATGGATGTTGATGAAAGTGAACCTCTCATTTGGTGCAGCTTCGATCGTGACACAATTATGATTACACTGCGCCATTCTGAGTCGTGATATTCCTACAACACCCGCAGAGATGAGCTTTAGTGTGGCAGAGAGGTGAAAACAGCAGAAGTCGGCAGCCCATAAGACTCATTTTAATGCAGATATAATTCTTCAGTCTGTCCCGCTGGAAAAATCAATGCTGAGAAACTTCTGGCATCCCGACAGCACTGATTCTCTCTGCACATGACAGCCAATTCACTTACAAGAATTAGGATGAGAGAGGCTTCACAGAGGCCAGCCAAAACTCGACCGGAAGAGTCCAGAGATGAGTCTCGACTCAGCAGAAACAGGAACATCCAATCAAAAAGAGTGATCGCATAAAGCAAGGCGACTCAGGATAAATGCTTATTGGAACTGATCCACCCTGCATTAATTAAATTTTACATTTTATGTAGAAGATAAGTACGGAAGCCCTGAACCGCAACCTAAAAAAAAAAAAAATCTGTAAAAAAAAAAAAATCTGTAAAAAAAAAAAATCTGTAAAAAAAAAAAAAAAAATCTAGCATTTCGAGATTAAAGTCGAAACATTTTGAGAGACGAGAGTACGAGAATACAGTCTTCCGTAGAAGCTGCGCGTGTGTGCTTGCCATTGTCTCACATTGCCGCACACACAGGCATTCATAATGGCCAATAGCGAGTTTCACACTGTGTGTGTGTGTGTGTGTTTTGTTTCATCAAAGGAAATTCAACAGGTGCCAATCTACCAGCATTAGGCTACCATTATAGGACGTTATAAAATATACTGCGCCGGAAATGACTTTAGCCTATAGGAAAACCAACACGGAAAACACTTTTCAGACTGGATGGAGAAATCCAGCTTTATGAATGAATGAATAGGGCATTTATACAGCGCTTTCATATATGCCTACACTCAAAGTGCTTTACAATCATATCAGAGAATCTCTCCTCAACCATAAGTGGTTATTAAATCTTAGGAAATCACAGGATCCGGCCAAATGATTGGATACAGAATAATGCACTAAAAATGTATCCAGAGCGTATTTACGTTGAAGAGGGAGACCGAACAGTTACTGATGTGTTCTCGACCCAGATAGTGTTGACTAGACGATCACGAAAAGACCTCAGAAACACTGCCAGTAGCGCGTGTGACGTGTGTAGAATTTTGTTGAAAGCCCAGATAAAAGTAAAAAGCTACTATTTTGTGTTTATCCATGGCAGTTCAACTTCACACACAGTGGACGCGCACTGTTATGAATGCACAACGTTTCGACTTTAATCTCGAAACATTTCGAATTTAATCTCGAAACATTTCGAATTTAACATTTCGAATTTAATCTCGAAACATTTCGACTTTAATCTCGAAACATTCCGACTTTAATCTCGAAACATTCCGAATTTAATCTCGAAACATTCCGACTTTAATCTCGAAACATTCCGACTTTAATCTCGAAACATTCCGACTTTAATCTCGAAACATTCCGACTTTAATCTCGAAACATTCCGACTTTAATCTCGAAACATTCCGCCTTTAATCTCGAAACATTCCGCATTTAATCTCGAAACATTCCGACTTTAATCTCGAAACATTTCGTCTTTAATCTCGAAACATTTCAAATTTAATCTCGAAACATTTCGACTTTAATCTCGAAACATTTCGTCTTTAATCTCGAAACATTTCGACTTTAATCTCGAAACATTCCACCTTTAATCTCGAAACATTCCGACTTTAATCTCGAAACATTTCGTCTTTAATCTCGAAACATTTAGACTTTAATCTCGAAACATTCCGACTTTAATCTCGAAACATTCCGACTTTAATCTCGAAACATTCCGACTTTAATCTCGAAACATTTCGTCTTTAATCTCGAAACATTTCGTCTTTAATCTCGAAACATTTCGACTTTAATCTCGAAACATTTCGACTTTAATCTCGAAACATTCCACCTTTATTCTCGAAACATTTCGACTTTAATCTCGAAACATTTCGTCTTTAATCTCGAAACATTTCGACTTTAATCTCGAAACATTCCACCTTTAATCTCGAAACATTCCGACTTTAATCTCGAAACATTTCGACTTTAATCTCGAAACATTTCGACTTTAATCTCGAAACATTTCGACTTTAATCTCGAAACATTTCGTCTTTAATCTCGAAACATTTCGTCTTTAATCTCGAAACATTTCGACTTTAATCTCGAAACATTCCGCCTTTAATCTCGAAACATTCCGACTTTAATCTCGAAACATTTCGACTTTAATCTCGAAACATTTCGACTTTAATCTCGAAACATTTCGACTTTAATCTCGAAACATTTCGACTTTAATCTCGAAACATTCCGACTTTAATCTCGAAACATTCCGCCTTTAATCTCGAAACATTCCGCCTTTAATCTCGAAACATTCCGACTTTAATCTCGAAACATTTCGTCTTTAATCTCGAAACATTTCGACTTTAATCTCGAAACATTCCGCCTTTAATCTCGAAACATTCCGCCTTTAATCTCGAAACATTCCGCCTTTAATCTCGAAACATTCCGACTTTAATCTCGAAACATTTCGTCTTTAATCTCGAAACATTTCGAATTTAATCTCGAAACATTTCGACTTTAATCTCGAAACATTCCGACTTTAATCTCGAAACATTCCGTCTTTAATCTCGAAACATTCCGACTTTAATCTCGAAACATTCCGACTTTAATCTCGAAACATTCCGACTTTAATCTCGAAACATTCCGACTTTAATCTCGAAACATTCCGACTTCAATCTCGAAACATTCCGACTTCAATCTCGAAACATTTCGACTTCAATCTCGAAACATTCCGACTTCAATCTCGAAACATTCCGACTTCAATTTCGAAACATTCCGACTTTAATCTCGAAACATTCCGACTTCAATCTCGAAACATTTCGACTTCAATCTCGAAACATTTCGACTTCAATCTCGAAACATTTCGACTTCAATCTCGAAACATTTCGACTTCAATCTCGAAACATTTCGACTTCAATCTCGAAACATTTCGACTTCAATCTCGAAACATTTCGACTTCAATCTCGAAACATTTCGACTTCAATCTCGAAACATTTCGACTTCAATCTCGAAACATTTCGACTTCAATCTCGAAACATTTCGACTTCAATCTCGAAACATTTCGACTTCAATCTCGAAACATTTCGACTTCAATCTCGAAACATTCCGACTTCAATCTCGAAACATTCCGACTTCAATCTCGAAACATTTCGACTTCAATCTCGAAACATTTCGACTTCAATCTCGAAACATTTCGACTTTAATCTCGAAATGCTAGATTTTTTGATTTTTTTACAGATTTAAAAAAAAATTTTTACTGACTTTTTTTTTTTAGGTTGCGGTTCAGGGCTTCCGTAGATAAGTCCTCTAAACCTAGTATAATAAATAAATAGATAGAATGTTTTTCAAAGAGTTATGCAGCAAACGCTCGCTATGCATTGCATTAAACAGATGCTTTTATCCAAAGCGACATGTGGAAATCACAAGCAAATTGTGCTCGAGCAAACAATATTCAGAGTTCACGATGCCAGTATAGTATAAAAAAATAGCAGAGGTGAACGAGTTGTTAGTTTTTATAGACGTAATGTAAGTGTTTTGGTTAATGGCTGTGGATCCCATTTTTATGTCTCATTTACTCGGATCATTTCTCTCATTGCATGAGCGTTTGACTGGCGAAGCCCGAAATGACGCTGCATTAAAATACTGATGATGCGTGAAGCTCCTCTTTAATTATGTGGCACTTCTCTTTCATTAATTTAGCCCTGTTACAGTTAGCATAAGGGTTTAATACAGGGTCTCAAACTAAAATCATAATTTTGCAGTTTTTTAGTGTAACAAAATATTATTATGAATTTCCCATATGGGACAATACAGAAAATCAGCCCATTTCACGGTGCCGTTAACATGCAGGCTTCATACTAGTTGCAATGGACTAAAGAAATCAGATTTTTTACCATAGCAATTGTAACTTTACACATATTATTGGGACATAAACGATGCTTTTAGGCTTTGTGCTATATGTAATAAGGCTCTAACAAAATTAACATCTTTTAGTGCACCAATCTTTTTAAATAACACTTTAAATTCACATAGCTATATAAATAGAAATGTAAAATCTTTTATTTGTAAGTGTGAATGAGTGTCCTCCTACATGGAGACAGACGGGACGCACATTTTTAGGCCTGTTCTGTTAACCCTAAAACCGTATTCTGGATAAATGAGGGCAAAATAGTTTTGATTTATTTTTAAAAAACACTTCCCTTGATCTGAGCGGTACAAGAATTGCCTACTTTTCCTAAGTTTGCCTCGTGAACACACAATTTTATTTGACTCAATTCTACAATGTTAAGTGGGTGAAAAAAAAAACTCCTTAATCTTGTATTTGGGTCAAAAATGGGCACCCATAGAAATGAATGGGAAAAACGGTAATTTAGAGCAGTCTAAAATAAGACAAAATAAGACAGCAAAGTCACTTCATCTTTAGGTTTTAGCTCTAAGAACTTATTGGAATGATATTTTAATGTAGTTAAAAAAAATTAAAAAATAAAACATAAAAAAAAGCATAATTTACATAGAAAATTGGGTACTTTTTGAAGTAAATAAATTAAAAAATACCCCCAAAATAAAAAAATAACACAATAAATGAATAGACAAAACTTTATCGAAGACTGTGATAACATTTATAATAAATAAAAAGTCCTCTGTGCCCACATTTGTCCACAATTAGAGGATTAAGGGCTATAAAGTGAATATGGTTTGAGGGCTACAAGGACAGGGTTGACAAGGGAATCAAAACAATAAGTCAACATGTAAAATGGGCCGATTTAAGGTGTTACAGTGAAAAGTGAATCATCACGACATCTCAATTACACCGCCGCCATCTGTGAGATTGTGAAATAGAAACTATTTCTTGTCTTCTTGTTGTGAGACAATGGTAAACTAATGCATTATAACCATCCTGACGTTCTCGACACATCTCTGCAGAGCGTTTGATCTGGTCTGATTGAGAGGATGTTGGCATCGGCTCTCGACTCATTAGATGGAGCGGTCACGGCTGTAATTAGAGCGCGTTTACTCTTCAACTGCGCCAAATTGAAAAGTTTTCCCATGGCAAAACCCATGATTCTTAGCAATCAGGTTGGCGCGAGCCGTTCATCTGCAGTCCAATAATTGTCTCTAAACACGTTTACGCTCTTCGTTAGGGTGAGAATGCACTTTAAACACAGAAACTAATCACTTATGACATCCCCCCCCCAAAAAAACATATACAGTAATTATCTGACATAGAGGATTCGTGGTCTAAAAGACGATTATTTGGAAAACTGGGATTGAATAAAGTTAAAACGTTCACTGATTCATGTTTGTACTTACAGGCTTTTGCATTTCTAATGTGCGGAACAACATTAAAAAAACCCCGACCAATTACATACAATAAACAGACACAACGTTTGATCTTAAAATGTATTGATAAATGTTGAGATTAACATGAACTAAGGTTAATAAATGCTGTAAAAGTATTTTTTATTGTTATTGCACGTTAATATACTTTTGTTTTCATTATTATCTTAATGTATTATTATAATTACACAAGTAATTTAATAATGCACAAATTAATTTGTTATTTAAAGTCTGTACAATACGGAAGCCCTTTTTTTTTACCATTATTTTTTTTTTATTAAAGACAAAACGTTTTGACTTTAATCTCGAAATGCTAGATTTTTTTTTTATTAAAGTCGAAACATTTTTACCTTTAATCTCAAAATGCTAATTTTTTTTATTAAAGTCGAAATGTTTTAACTTTAATCTCGAAATGCTAGATTTTTTTTTTTTACAATTTTTTTTATTAAAGTCGAAACATTTTGACTTTAATCTCGAAATGCTCGATTTTTTTTTTTTTACAAATTTTTTTTGATTAAAGTCGAAACGTTTTGACTTTAATCTCGAAATACTAGATTTTTTTAATTTTTTTTACAATTTTTTTTGGATTAAAGTCGAAACGTTTTGACTTTAATCTCGAAATGCTAGATTTTTATTTTTTTTACAATTTCTTTTTGATTGAAGTCGAAACGTTTTGACTATAATCTCGAAATGCTAGATTTAAAAAAAAAAAATTACATTTTTTTTTTTTTGATTAAAGTCAAAACGTTTTGACTTTAATCTCGAAATGCTAGATTTTATTTATTTTTTTTACAATTTAAATTTTTTTTTTCCGTTGCGGTTCAGGGCTTCCATAGTAAACTCTCTAATTAATAATAATAAAATCATTATAGGATTAGATTGTGATTCAAAAAAACATTTTATCGTCTCATAATCTCCATTGAAGCATCAGCTCTCTCACAATGTCAGAAACGGTTCGATAAAGGATTCAGTCTCTCTAAACTCCGCCTTTCCGAGAGCTGCTCTGCTCTGATTGGTCAGATGGCCCAGTATGCTGTGATTGGTCAGAAACCAAGCGCTAATTATCATATCTAAGCTCAGCTCTTGATACACATGAACATCACAAACCAAACTCTCCCAGTCTCAGATTCAACTACAGTGTTTGAGGGCGGAGCTAAGAGATGCTGTTCAGCCAATGAAAACCATAGACTAAAACAAGGTCCATGCAGGAAATAAGACTCGACTCGTTTCGAAGCTTTGCAGAGCTGTTACATTCACAACCAGCTGTTTCAGAGAATCCTGTAAACAACCGGTCAGCGTCTCACCGAAGTCACTGTCGCACGAGTCGGGTCCGTCTCTGGTCCTGCAGACCTGTGGCCCGGCGTCCAGCTGACAGGCCTTCGCTATGGACGTCACCAGATACTCGTCCTCGGTGTTCCTCCAACCCCACCAGCTGATCTCGGGCTGACTGCAGCGAGCGATGACCGCCCCGTTACGCTGGTGCCTGGCGGACAGACCACAGGACATCAGTCATTCTTAAAGGGATAGATCACCCAAAAATAAACTAGCCCATAATTTACTCACCCTCAAGTCATCCTATGTGTATGTGACTTTCATCTTTCAGACGAATACAATCGGAGATATATTAAAAAATGCCCTGGCTCTTGCAAGCTTTATAATGGCAGTGGATTGCAATCATCAGATTAAAGTTAAAAAAAGTCATCATAAACGAACTCTACACAGCCCCGGCGGTCAATAAAGTCCTTAAGAATCAAGCGTTTGTGTAAGAAAAATGTTAAATCGGAAAATTTATTAATATAACACTGACTGTATTCGTCTGAAAGAACATATGAAGAGTTCAGATGCAAAAGCCTCTAAATGCCATTTGAAATTTTCTTCTTTAATGATGATTTTTATCAAACTTGTATATTTAAGTTCAGTAATTTCACTTAAATAACAATTAATAGGTGATTATCATTGCCATTTAAGTGAAATTACTGAACTTAAATATACAAGTTTGATAAAAATCATCATTAAAGAAGAAAATTTCAAATGGCATTTAGAGGCTTTTGCATCTGAACTCTTCATATACACATAGGGCGAGTAAATCATGGGCTAATTTTAATTTTAAAGTGAACAGCTGCTTTAATTAGACAGGGCTGGATATAAGGCTGAGATGAGTTTGAGAGGACTGGACATCTCTCACCGGTACACCACCACAGGAATCCTCTTCCAGGACCTGAAGGAGCCCACGCTCTCCAGCTCTTTATCTGTGATCCAGACGGGCACCAGCAGCTTCTGAGGGTAACTCGAACACAACCTACGAGACAGAACGACCAGAGTCTGACACTGAAACCGACACACGTGAACACCACCACCAATTTCAGTTACACAGAAAAAAATTATTATTAATTATAGTTTTATGATGCACACCATATCAGCAGCAAACGCGATTATCAGTAGTAGAAATCATCATAACTACGGATGCACTGAAAATTCTGGATGCACTTTACTTGGCAGATACCGAACATTACTATTAATTAAAATTCACTATTAAATTACTAATAATTAAAAAATAATTATTATTAAAAAAAAAATCATTCAATTAAAAATCACTATTAAATTACTAATAATTAAAAATAATTATTATACTTTTTTTAAATCATTAATTTCTCAATTTATGTTGTTTTTTGTATAATTGTATTTTTAATAGGCCTTTTGATTATTTCAATTATTTTACCTAATCTGAATTAAAATAAGAAGCCAATAAAATAACCACACGTTTGTTTAAAAGAAAATAGCCAATGTGATAAACTCATAAGTAGTGCTCAGTTATTTAAATATCAATTTATATCAAATTTACACAAAAATTTGACAGAAAATAGATTAAATTGTTGTCAATAATATTAAATATCAATTTCATATCTAAGGGGCGGGGCAGGATGGATTTTTTTCGTCTTCATTCTTTCGGCCAAAAATCAAAAATGCAGATATTTTTCGACGGGCAAAATGGATGAATCCCTAATTACAACTATAACAACAATAAAATGTGAAGAAACAAAGACAATTATATACAATAATTTAACATATTTCTTACAACAAATACAGTAAAAATATAGATGTTATATTAGCGACAGCAGCAAATGTATTTGCTATTTCAGTGAAATCTGATTAAATAAATAGATATATTTTTGAAAATGTCCATTACTGACATTTCTGAATAAAACCATTGCCATTTCAATAAAACATGCTTTATATTATTTATTAAATAAATAAACAATACAATAACATTTACTGTTTTATATTGGTATTATTTTACTTCATATTTTACAAACCCATGATGATTGTTTTTAACTAAACATAGTATTTAACTAAACATAGCTTATGATTGTAATTGTTCAAGTGGAGTGTTGTTTAAATAATATTAACATAATTGACAGCAGTGACACCAAATGCACAGTATTTTGAGACAATTCTGATGCCAGTCCTATCAGTTTACATTCATTCAACAAACTTAATACCTTTTGACCATGAAGTGCGTTAAACTGGCGTACATGAAAGTGTTTGAACATCAAATATATCATCACACATCAGGATTAAAGTCATTTTCTCTTATTCTGATGATCTGATTAATCACAAACACACACTTCATCTCAGTCTCATTCCCGCTGTGCGTCTCACCCTCAAATGAAAAAACTCCAATTATTTCCTCATGTCCTCGATGACCGACCTTACACACACACACACACACACACACACACACTCGAGTGTGTCTGACGTGACTCATGTGGCGCAGCAGGTTCAGGCTCGCTTTAATTATCCATCTCTACACCGCCTGCACTTACAGCCAAACACTATCTGCTCGTTTTAGGAAAATATCAGAAATCTGTTCAATTTAAAGAGGCCCTTTGAGTGTTTCTGATGTTTTCAGGCTCTACTAGAACAGGTTTTCCTGTCGAATGTTGCTTATTCTCCTCATATTCTCCATTGTTGCGGCTCCTCTCTCCACAGTCTGTCAGTAACGCTCTGTTTACTTCCTGTCTCTGTGAAGCCCCGCCTTCTGAAAAGCACACTGTGCTCTGATTGGTCGGCTGGAGCGGTGTGTTGTGATTGGTCGAGCGCTTCGAGTGTGTTTGGGAAATGCCCCACCCCTTTCCATAACCGCCAGTTTAACACACTACTGACTAACTCAACCAGGCCCCGCCCCTTTATTCTGCGCATTAATTATTATAATGAGGAATATTGTGACGAGTTTGTTCCCGGAAGAAACTGGGCGTTTCAGGAGTTCAGAAACACTGATATAGAGAAGAACTCACCAGCAACAGCAACTTTACACACTATAGAAAGACGAACAAGGGATAAAGCTAAATATAATATAGGACTATATATTGTGGTGATGATATAAAGAGATTTTGTTATATCGTTTATGTAAATATAAGAGGTGTAACAATATACAATAAATTATAAAATACAATGTAAAATCAAATATAGCATTTAATCATATTTCTCAGAGTATCGCAATAATATCGCATGATGATGTGTATCGAATATCGTTACACCCCAAGTAAATATATCCACAGTTTCTAGTATTTTGGTCATAACAGTTCCCATTAGGGCTGGGTAATAAATATCGATTTCTCGATATTAATCGATTCTCATTTTTACGAACCGATATCGATTCTTAAATCTCAAGAATCGATTAGTCGTCCTGTTTCATTTGAATGAATGGATCATTGTATCGCGGCTGCGCGCATCCAAAAAAATCGCACTAATCTTTGTCCTTTGTTACTATTGATATGAAACAAAGTCATAATTTTCAAATTACGTCCATTTTCTTTAGAAATTCAAAAACATAAATAGCGTTTTGGCGCTGTGGCGTGAGATCGCTCTGGAGAAGCAGCAGCGCTGATCTCTCTTCCGGCTTAATAATACCAGTCACAGCGCCAAATAAACATGAATGAGCATCTGAAAGTGTGTTAAAGATAGAGTACAACTTATCCAAATCCGGATCATGTCACATTGATTCGCTCAATCAGCGTTTCAACCGTGGAAAGACGTCAGTTAAACAGCTTGTAATAAATGTCATGTACCGTCATATTTACCTCAGAAAACCCACATAAACTCGTTAGTCAGCTACAAAAAATAACTCCAGAGAGGAGCATTTTGCTAAATATATACACCATATTACATATGCATTATAATCTTAATGTTCTTTAATATTAAAAAATGCATATTTGAATAAATCTGGCAAGTTTTTATGACAGCCACCATTTAAATGTTTATATTTCACATAATCTTCTTATTATAAAAATAAATAAGTGTAATTTAAGTGTTTGTATAGACGAATCCGACGAGCGTTCTGTGTAGGCTGCCATCTTGTGGCGACGCCATTACTGAGCTGTTACACCGGCATGTAAACAAACCTCGGTGATAACGCGAACGCACCCTTGATGACAGCAACAGCCAGGCAGAATGACTTGTTGGATTGATGATGTTAGACATTGGCCTCCAGTCACAGATGAAGGTACAAACGATCTTACAGATTATTTATGAAAATAGCTTGGCAAGCTAGCTAGGCTAACGTTTGCTAACGAGGAAACTATAAAAAGATCTGTCCATTTGGCAACAATAAATAAATGAATGAAATCAAATAAACAAATTCATGTTTTTCATTTGTGTCCATTATTTATCTCATTTTCACATTGCAACGGGCAAGGGTAAGGTAACGTTACAGCTAGAAAGTATACATAATATCGACCAATTAGTGTTTTTAAACCATGGAAAGAGGTCAATATAACAGCGGGAGAACAATTATGTCACATAACGTTACATTCAGCGCAGGAAAGCCATTTAATGACCATAGCATGTTAATTGAATAGAAAAAATAGCAAGAGAGGAGATTTTGCTGATCACTATATCACATATTTATTATATTTTTTACTTATGTCATTAAATAATTGTTATTATACGCGAATGTCGTATAACTCACCCAGGAAATCTGTGTGCACCAGTCGACCCGGGGTATTCACAATGTTTTCTCTTCAAAAGTGAAATTTTACTACCACCATTGAAACAATTTATAACGGAAACTGTTTACCCACTCGACATTATACAAGGGATAACGTTGTAACGTTAGTGACAGTCGTAAATCGCGAGCTGTTTATTCCAGTGGACGCAAGTTGCAACTAAAACAATAGGAGGCAATGGCGAAACGCTACTAGAGCTGTCACGATAACTACTTTTTGTTGTGCGATATATTGCACCAAAATTAATTGCGATAAACGATATTATTGTCATTTTCAGACCATTTTATGCCACTGATTACCTATGACAATATAATAGCATTATAATGCAAGTACACTGTTTCAAAGAACATTTATTCTCATTCTATTCAATATTTAGACATTGTGTACAAAAAATATATCCCAAATAAATAAAACAAGTAGGCCTAAATAAATACACATTCTTAACAAAAAAGTTTCAGGTATCAAAAACTAGATCAAAACAAAGAAATATGTCAATTTAAACTTTTAAAGTGTCTCACACAAAGGCACAGATGCATCAACAGGACATTTCATATTTTTAAATGCTGGTTTTTCGACCGTGCATAATGGCTGCATCTCTTTGGCTAAATAGTAGTGTAGTGCCTGAACGCGTTCATATTTGAGTGAACTGAAGAATGTACTGTATTACTGCCTGATGAACGCGTTCATTCTGGTGTATGTCTGCGAATGCACGCTCTATCAGTTTAAACTCTTACCTTCGTACAATAGGGTGCCGATTTGTATAGAGCCTTCCAGGCGAAAACCCGGCTAAAACACACGTAAACAAGCCTTAAACACCCAATCTGGCAACACCAACCGCGCCGCGGCCACCGTCAACAAAGCAGCGAGTGAGGAGATGTATGATCATTTAAACGGATTTTATGAGGTCAGTGCGGATGGGAAAAAAAATCTCACATTTCTGCGCAAACTGGCCGTCGATAAAATAATTGTTGTCTGTGGTTGTATGGGCTGTGACAATAACAGCCTAATGAAAAAAGCTCACAACATGGAAAAAAGAACTATAAATTAATTAGTTTTTTTGAAGTATGAGCTATGAACTGAACTAATTCATTTTAAAATGTGTGAACTGAACTTTGAACTAGTTCGTGTAGAAAGTGAAATTTACCAACACCAGAGTTACGCTATCCGTGAGTGTGCGCCATTTCGCGCTGTCACGTTTACTATTTGCACTGTCGGGACGGGAAAATGCATCTGCAACATAACTGTCTGGAAGAAGGCCCCTCTCCAACTCCAGCTGCTGTTGTTGTTCCCAGGTTGAAACACTGGGTGGGATGGTTATGTTTTAGGTGCGATTTTAAGTTTGTTGTGTTGCCTCGTCGCGTTGCGACTGTTTTAAAACACAGTCGACATACCCGCTCGTTCACGTTTATCTCTCCTCTCTCGTTCGGCTTAAAGGCAAAATGTTCCCACACCGGAGCTGAAGATTGTGGCTTTGAAATCAATTAATTCCATGTTGGACTCGTTCTTCCTAACTGTCTGGCTCGCTGTAGATGTCACGAGAACACTTTAAAATGCAGTTTTGGTTCACGCCTACTCTTCACCTGCCGGTGTCCGCTCTCTCCCTGTGTGTGTATGTGGTGGACGCGTGCAGACAAGATGACAGAGGAAGCGCGATCAACTAAAATGCTCATGACATTCATTTTATTGTAAAAATGAATCTAATTATTATTCTTAATAGTAAAACAAATTATCTGTTGCAATATATCGCGGCACCAAAAATGATCGCACTGGTTTCCATATATCGTGCGATAAGTCGATATATTGACTATCGCGACAGCTCTAAACGCTACCCAGCAACAGCTCAGTAATGGCGCCCGCTTACTTCCGGTAGTTTCGCCGGATTCGTCTATAGCTACAAAACAGTTCATTATTACCTTCATATTAGGCTAATGAAGCCCAACTAGACTCCCATAGTTTACAGCATTGGTTAAGAGATTTGATTTCCTTTTATTGTAACTGATATCCAAAATAATCGATATTGAATCGAAATCAAATCGAATTGTGAAATGTGTGTCAATACCCAGCCCTAGTTCCCATCCATCCATCATAATCACAGTCGGATCTTACTTGTAGTTGCTGTTGATGTCGGACACCCTCCAGGCGTTCTGCATGTCGAAGCCCATCCGCTTCACCTCCACCTCCAGCCTGTGCCGCACATGATCACCTGACACAAACACACACACCGCTTCCTCAGCGCTATGCAGGTCTGGAGTGTATTTGCATTTTCTAAAGTATCTAGAGATGTGTGTTCACTATCAGGTGAGGTGTGTGTACCTGGTCTGCACAGGTGCAGGTGCTGGTCTTCATCGTCCGTGTTTCCTCCTAAACACCAGGCGTGATAGGCCAGCGCGAACAGCTCCTCCAGACGGGCCGGGTGTGTGATCGCGCGGTTCAGGCGCTTCAGCCACTCCTCACACTGCTTGAACGTCGAGAAATGACACCTGACACACACACACACAACGCGGATTACAGCCGATTCCTCCCAGACACACACTGAAAGCTGAGAGGGGCAATAACACTTTAGAGTTAGGCCTCAGCTGGTAAAGGGGTCATGAACTTTTACGAGTTGATTGAACTGAAGTGTGTGTTGGCAGTGCCTCTGTACACACACACAACCGTCATAATAATGATAAAAACCATCCAGTGTTTTAGCTCTAATCTCCTCTAATGTTTTCCCCTGCCTCATATTGAGCCAAATCAAGAGTGTGTGTAACAGAGTGTGTGTGAGAGTGTATGATATGTGTGAGAGTGTGTGTGAACGTGTGTTAGAGGGTGTGTGTGTGTGTGTGTGTGAGCGTGTATGCGTGTGAGTGTGTGTGTGTTTGTGTAAGAGTTTCTATTAGTGTTTGATAGTGTATTATGAGTGAGTGTGTATGTGCGAGTGTGTATGTGTGCGAGTCTATGAGTGAGAGAGTGTGTGTGTGTGTGTGTGTGTGTGTGTGTGAAAGTGCGTGTGTGAGTGTGTGTGTGTGTGTGTGTTTGTGTAAGAGTTTCTATTAGTGTTTGATAGTGTATTATGAGTGAGTGTGTATGTGCGAGTGTGTATGTGTGCGAGTCTATGAGTGAGAGAGTGTGTGTGAAAGTGCGCGTGCGAGTGTGTGTGTGTGTGTTTGTGTAAGAGTTTCTATTAGTGTTTGATAGTGTATTATGAGTGAGTGTGTATGTGTGAGTGTGTATGAGTGAGAGAGTGTGAGAGAGAGTGTATGAAAGTATGCGTGTGTGTGTGTTTGTGTAAGAGAGTGAGTGCGTCTGTGTGTGTGAGAGTTTCTATAAGTGTTTGATAGTGTATTATGAGTGATTGTGTGTGTGTGTGTGTGTGTGTGTGGATAAGTCTGCTGTGAGGAATCTGATCTTTTGTAATCAACAGAAATCTTCAGCTAAACGGCACAAGCGTGGTGATGTGATGAGAGGCATGAAGGTCAGATTTAAAAGAACCAATTAGTTCAGCGAACAGCAGGAGGAAGTCCAAGACTATCAGACCGCGTGTGTGTGTGTGTGTGTGTGTGTGTGTATTACCTCACTACTTTAGAGTCTTTGCAGATGATGTGTAGCTGGAACATATCTCTGCTCTCAACGCCCTCAATGAGCCTCAGAGGAACCTGCACACACACACACACACACACACACACACACACAATCAGCCAATCAGAGAGAAGAAGACTTACTCACATGACTGCAACAACCAATCATGAGCATCAAACTACAAACTCAACAATGTCACAGTTTTAAATGTAACTCTTGCCCATCGGATGCAGAATAAAACATGTAACATTGTAAGATAATTAAAATGTCATAAAAATAATTAAAATTCATTTCTTAAATAGTGATACTGCAAGTTATTGAGGCCTGTTATACTGATATAAAAGGCATTGATAGACTACAAAGTTAAAGCCTTAATATTGATATAATATAATATAATATAGTGCTGGGCAGCGATTGATTAATCGCATTCAAAATAAAAGTTTGTTTACATAATGTGTGTGTACTGTGTATAATTATTTTGCATATTTAAATACACACATCTGCATGTATATAACTAAGTGTTTGCATGTATATACTGTATATATATATATATATATATACACAATTTATATAATATATAAATATTTTTTATATAAATAACACATTTTTCTTAAATATATACATAATTATACACGGCACACACACATATATTATGTAAATTCAAACTTTTATTTTTAATACGACAGCCCTAATATAATTATAAATTAAATATGATACTAATCAGAATATTAGAATGCTGAAAATTCAGCTTTGATCACAGGAATAAATAAATTTATTAATAATACATTTATATTTTAATATTAAAATTTAATAAAATAATAAATAAATAAATAATTTTTTTAATATATATTTACATAGAAATCAGTAAATTGTAATAATATTTCACAATATTACTGTTTTTAACTGTATTTTTGATTAAATTAATTCAGCTTTGATTACTATATATACAGTATATATTCTGCCCTGTTAATAATATTATATAGCGTAATAAAACACAATATGATGTATCCAGACTGCATCGATGTGAGAAACATCAAAACAGACATTAACAGGGGGAAACGAAGACATGAAATGCAGGGATGAAGAGGTCAGAGGTCAGAGGTGAGGGTGCAGATTACTCACAGAAATCTCACTGTCCACACCAGGATACATCTACAACACCGACACAGGGATGAGGAAGAGGAGGACAGGAAGAGGAAGAGAGGGTGGGGGAAAAAAAGAGGGAGATGAAAAGGTGACTCAGCAAAACGAGCAAACAAAGAGGAGGATATAAATGGAAGGGTATGGAGAGAGAGAGAGAGAGAGAGAGAGAGAGAGAGAGAGAGAGAGAGAGAGAGAGAGAGAATTGTTTTGAAAAAAAAAAGATGTCTTAAATCTCAGGGTCACATGATGCTCTAAGTGCAAGGGATTCTGGGAAGTATCATAAGGATTTCAGTCTCAAGCTTAAAGGAATCTTAGTTTAGCATAACGTGGATTACGACCACATTTCATCTCATCCCTAATTTTTCAGACGTCTATGTAATCGGAATGAAACTCATTCATGTTAAAGGTGCAGTGTGTAATATTTAGGACGAATATGCAATATCATATGCATAACTATGTTTTCAGTGGTGTATAATGAACCGTTATGTTTTTATTAGCTTAGAATGAGCATTTCTCTCCACACACACAAGGTCTCCTTTAGAGCCAGACCGATATATCGGCAGACCGATATTAGGCATTTTCCAAACTATCGGTATCGGCGGTTATAATTGAGAAATGAATATTTCAAAAATAAAATAAAAACGGACGAAACACGCTTGAACCATGTCATGAGTGTTGGAGTTGTATAGTTTGTCCACCAGAGGGCACTCTACACGTCCCTGTTGGCAACACTAGTTGAGTTGGGTACGAGACATACATTGCTTGAATAACAATTAAAAGAACATCCCCATCAGTTCTCTCAACTCAAATAAGCATGACAACATTTGTGACTATCATGTCCAGTTTAAAAAACAATAAATAAAATATCGGCCGATATATCGGAAAATCGGATTTTAAAACCCAAAAATATTTGTATCGGTATCGGCCTTCAAAATCCTTTATCGGTCGGGCTCTAGTCTCCTTACATCGACATTTCTACGGTGGGGCAAAACGGACAAACGCGTTTCGTCACTATGTTGTTCTTCGTGTAAAGAAGCTGCTAAAGTCAGTGAATAAAACACTGACACAATCATGAACAAGTCACAAAAACATCGTTTCACTGATTAATTAAGTAAACCTAATTTTTTTTTTAATCTTTGTAAAGAAACCTCATTGCTAACTGGCTATTCTCTGCTGTCTCAGACGATGACATCACTTCCTGACAGCCACCGTAACTTCCGTTGGGTGCAATTCGCAACATCACCACTAGATGCCACTAAATCACACACTGCACCTTTAAAGGAACAAATACTGTCATAAAGCAAAATGATATAATGATATGATATGATATATAAATTAATATAATTTACATCCTATTAGTATTTATTAATATTTGATTATTATTTTTTATTATTATTACAAGAGAAAGAGTTCAAGATCAGCGACGGTTTACTTAGATCACAGAAACAGGTCAAAGGTCAACCCTAAAACTCCCTCTCCTTCAGACATGAAGCGCGTCGACACAGAAACACAGAAAGGGTTTGAACACACGTACTGTATGAGATAAGAGGCTTTTCTCTGCACTGATGATGCGTTTACACTGACAGACGTCAGCCAATCACGGCTGACCCTCCACTGCAGGCTCCATGTGTGCGTTTATACTGTATATGTATACAATTTTTGGATTTATATACTTAAATTATATATATTTTAACTAATACAACATTTTCTCTCTATGTGTGTGCGTAATATATACTGTATATATATATATATATATATATATATAAATATACACATATATATATATATACATACAGTATAGTAGATAAATTTAATTATATATATTTGAACTAATACAACATTTTCTCTCTATGTGCGTGCGTAATATATATATATATATTAGGGCTGTGCAAAAATTAATTGCGATTAATCGCATCCAAAATAAAAGTTTACATAATATATTTTTGTGTGCTGTATATAATTATTTTGTATATATAAATACACATACAATAAGAAAATGTGTTATTCATATATAAAATATTTATATTTATATAATTTAGATTATGTATATATATATATATATATATATATACAGAAATTAAGCGCAAATAATTCTTAAATATATACATGCATGCTTAGGTATTTATATATATATATATATATATATATATATATAAACGGTATATTAGATTAAAAAAATAGAAATATATTCATATTTAAATATCTATTTAAATAGTGCATGGCATTTTTATTATGAGGTCTGTTTATATTTTAAATAAATACTATACTATTTTATGTATAAAATGTTATGTATAGAACTTTAAATATAAATATAATTTAAAATATTTTTCTATTTCTATTTTAAATAAGGTAATATATTCGAATATGTACAAAATATAAATATTTGTATTTACATATTTAAATAGTTTAACTATTACATTACATTTTTGATATACATATATACACATAATAATATATAGATTTTTCCATTTTTTCAACATATCATAACGCAACATTTTTTTTAAAATCAAAGTCATAAATTGCTCTGCTAACAGCGCTAAACAATAGAAAAAAATACGTCTGCTTCAAAACAGCTTTCCTGAACACGGCGATTAAACTGATGCAGGAGAAAGTATTTTATATTTAGATTATCACATTTAAAACTATTCTAAACATCAACTCCACTAACGAAGCAACAGCGCTGGTCCTGCTTGAAGTCGAGGGAGGTTGTGGGTGGAAAGAAAGAGAAAGAGAAAAGGAGTGTGGTGTGCCAACATGAGCTCAGTCTCGGGTCAGGTCAAAGGTCATGGAGATGACCGGAGACGTGAAACACACACACTGACAGGATCGCTCTCTCTCGCTTGTGTTGTCGGTGCGCTTACGTTGATGATGGAGTCTTTGAATTTGATGTGAAGTCTGTAGTTGGAGATGGCGATGATGGCATCGTCCGCTCGGCCCAGAAACTCCACACACTCGCCCTGCAGGACAGGGAACGGGACCTGGAGCGGGACACATGTATAGAGGAGAGGTTAGCTGATATAGAAATGAACATCAGGCTTCTGCATCTCTTGGTCTGTTGCGTTTGAATGTGGCTTTCTGGAGTTTGAAGCTGTTTTTCCTGTAGCTTCTGCTTCCAATTTTCCTTTCCCATAATGCCATCTGTGCCAGCGGCTCGTGTCATTGCCCAGTTAAAGCCCTGCGCTGAGCCTACAGAGAGCCAAACACGGAGCGGTTCGGGCTGGTTTTAAGAGGTTCGTACTACAGTTAACAAGGAAACGTTTGTCTTTCCAGCGTTTTCTGAAAGTGTGTGTGTGTGTGTGTGTGTGTGTGTGTGATTTCTGTCTCTAAATAGAATTGCAAAGTGTTGACTAAGTTAAACAAGCTGAACTCATTTTATGAATCTGGGGTGTTTCTTCAAACAATAACAAAAACTGGAAACCAGTTTGAAAATGGTTATTATTATTGAAACTCCATTCAGTGACACTAGAGACACAAATTAGACATTGGATCTAAAAACATGCAGATCACTTAAAATGTATTTATTATTTTTAGGAAAACTTGTTGGTCCATTGATCTTTACTGTGATGGTAGATATAAGTGATTTTTGGGGTAAATCTGTTATTAAATTATTTATTATTAAAATATAATGTATATTCAAACATTTTATATTTATATAAATAATATACATTTTTTTACATTAAATATATATTTTTAGACATACATACATATATAGTATATATATACACATACATACACACACATATGTATATATATATATATATATATATATACACACATACACATATATATACATATATATATATATATATATATATGTGTGTGTGTGTGTGTGTGTGTGTGTGTGTGTGTGTGTACATATAAAATGTTATGAATATACATTATAATTTAAGAATAAATAACTTAACAGATTTCTAATTTAATAACAGATTTCTGTTTAATAACACACACACACACACACACACACACACATATAAAACAATTGAATACCATTTAAATAATTACAATTTATATTAAAACATAATTAAAATATAAATACATGTCTAGTCAAGTCATCCTTATTTATATTGTAGATTGTTTAAAAGCAGCTTTACAGAGATAAACATAGAGTTTAATTCTTATTTACTTTAACATTAACACACATTCCTGGTCTTGTGAATAGTTCATCAGTGCACATGTGACAGTGCACAGTGCACTGAAATTGAAGTTTGTCTTCAAAATCTTTTCATTAAAATGTAAAGTGTCAGTTGGCATTATGAATCCTTACTTTCCCCCTCTACATTTCCCATTAAATACTCAAAACTACATTAGATTACAACCACAACAAATCAAAGCGCATGCTTATTATATTTTGATGAAAGATGGAATAAAACGGACTAACTTGCTTTCTGGAATGACTTGACCAAGAGAGCCGCCATGATGTCTACAACTATATAACTCAACAATCAATTCCTTATGAATTAAATCAAGACTTACAGCCTTTTATTAAAGTTATGAGTATGCCTGAAAGACTTACAGCCTTTTATTAAAGTTATGAGTATGCCTGAAATGTCATTTAAACTGGTCTATTTGTGTAAGAATGCATGTGTGTGTGTCTCGACCTTCAAGATAATAAACGACTAAGTGACTGATAACAGCATGTCGGGAGAATATACAGTCATATCGCATCCATCTCTCAGTCATTATACTCAGATTTACACCAGCCGCTGATGTAACAGCTCATATTTAAGAGATATTTATAGGCAATTTTATACTTGTACTCCAGTGTCCACGAGTGGACTTTAGGAAAGGAGAAATAAAGCATGGTGGTGTCTGGTGTATTCTGCTGATATATGGGGAAACTGCATCCATATTACATCAACCGAGTGACACACAACGAGTCATGAAAGCAGTGTTGCTTCAAAGGGATCGGGTGAGCGCTGGGAGAACGACTCGTACCACAGATCTTCACCGAGAGAGTCTGACAACCCACACGACGGAGAACTGCTCCAAACACACATCACATGAAGACCAAATAAACATAGACTGAAGGCTGCGTGAAGGAGGATGCTTGCATTCGCGACTGCTGTTTATCTTTCGGCGAAAACAGTCATTGTTCCTCTATCAAACTAACAAAATATATGAGCACAGATGCATGGCATTGGTATCAGGATCCCTGCATGCATCTTTACATTTGCATCCCAATGCAACTGGATACATGCGTTCATCTTTAAGGACAAATAATTATGGTAAACCCCTAAATAATCATCAAACTCCAAATAATCAAACCCCCAAATAATCAAACCCCTAAATTATTAAACCCCCAAGTTATCGAACCCCCAAATAATAAATCAACCCCCCAAATAATAGTCAAACCCCCAAATAGTCAAACCCCCAAATAATAAATCAACCCCCAAAAAATAATCAAACCCCCAAATATTTAAACCCCCAAATAATTAACCCCCCCAAAAAAGTAAACCCCCAAATAATTGAACCCCCAAATAATCAAACCTTAAAATAATCAAACCCCCTAAAAAAATCAACCCCCCAAAAATAATTAAACCCCCCAAATAATAATCAAACTCCCAAATAATCAACCCCCCTCCCCCAAAAAATCAAACCTCCAAATAATCAAACTCCCAAATAATCAAACCCCCAAATAAATATACCCCCAAATTATTAACCCCCCCAAATTAGTCAAACCCCCAAATAATCAAACCCCCAAATAATAAATCAAACCCCCAAATAATAATTAAAACCCCCAAATAATCACCAAACCCCCAAATAGACAAACCTCCAAATAATCAACCCCCCCAAAGTCAAACCTCCAAATTTTTAAACCCCCAATTAATCAAACCTTAAAATAATCAACCCCCCCAAAAACAGTCAAACCCCCAAATAATCAAACCTCCCAAATAATCAAACCTCCCAAAAACAATCAACCCCCCCCCCCCAAATAATCAAACCCCCAAATAATCAAACCTTAAAATAATCAACCCACCCCCAAATAATCAAACCTTAAAATAATCAAACCCCCTAAATAAATCAGACCCCCCAAAAATAATCAAACCCCAAATAATTAAACCAAAAGATGTCCAGTCCCAACTCAAAGCGATTGTTTTCCTTAAAACAGTCCAAAACTGTTGTAGTGAGTTTTACACACACAAACATCAACCTTACAATAATGTGCACTGATGAATCGATCACAGTAAGACCAGGAACATGCCAAGAGTCCTTCATCTGGACTTTAAGTGCTGCATTTAGACTCGCAGGTTTGTGCAAAGTCATTGAATGACAGGCAATGTCGAGTTCTCCCGCTCTTGTTCCCGTGGTTGTCCCAGCTGTATCGTGTCATTGCTTCGTCCTTTTGATTCATTTCACTCTTTTCACCACCACATCTACTATTCCCCATCTCCCCATCCCTCATTTCAGTTCCTTTACACTGATATTTCCTATGTAGTCTGAGGTGTGTTGACCCACTTATAAGATAAATATATTTTTAAATGTATAAACCTAATAATTATATTTACATTATTATCATTATTATAATTACAATAAAGAATAATAATTATTAGAGATGGACCGACGTATCGGCCAATAATCTGTTTCGGCTGAGGAAAGCCGAAACTTTGTCCATTTTTATCACAAAATTCATACAATTCATAAATGGGGTTTTGATGCTCTTAAATGTGACATGGCAGATCGCTGTAGAGCCAAATGAGGGTTTCCAGTAGTTTACAGCATTAGTTGGGAAAGTGTTTTGTTTCCTTAAGAAAATCAAACTACTGGTATCGGCAGATATAATTCTGAATTCTGATATGGACAAATGTTTCTGTATTATCGGTATGGGCAGATGTAATTCTGTATTATCGTAAGGGCAGATGTAATTCTGAATTACCGTTTTTGGCAGATGTAATTCTAAATTATTGGTACGAACAAATATGTTTCTGTATTATTGGTAAGGGCAGATGTAATTCTGAATTATCGGTATGAGAGCAGATGTAATTCTGAATAATCGGTATGAGCAGATGTAATTCTGAATTATCGGTAAGGGCAGATGTAATTCTGAATAGCCGTTATCGGCAGATGTAATTCTAAATTATTGGTACGAGCAAATATGTTTCTGAATTATCGGTAAGGGCAGATGTAATTCTGAATAATCGGTACGGGGAGATGTAATTCTGAATTATCTGCACAGCAAATATGTTTGAGTTATCGGTACAGGCAGATGTAATTCTGAATAATCGGTACGGGCATATATAATTTAGAATTATTGATATGGACAAATATGTTTCTGAATTATCGGTAAGGGCAGATGTAATAATGAATAATCGGTACAGGCAGTTATTAGTATGGACAGATATAATTCTGAATTATTGGTACGGGCAGATATTAATAATCGGTATGGGCAGATATAATTCTGAATTATTGGTACGGGCAGATATAATTCTGAATAATTGGTCTGGGCAAATGTAATTCTGAATTATCGGTATGGGCAGATATAATTCTGAATAATCGTAAGGGAAAAATGTTATTCTGAATAATTTGTACGGGCAGATATAATTCTGAATAATCGGTAGGGGCAAATATAATTCTAAATTATCGGTATGGGAAAATGTAATTCTGAATAATCGGTACGGGCAAATATAATTCTGAATAATCGGTACGGGCAGATATAATTCTAAATTATCAGTATGGGAAAATGTAATTCTGAATAATTGGTACGAGCAGATATAATTCTGAATAATCGGTACGGGTAGATATAATTCTAAATTATCAGTATGGGAAAATGTAATTCTGAATAATTGGTACGAGCAGATATAATTCTGAATAATCGGTACGGGTAGATATAATTCTAAATTATCGGTATGGGAAAATGTAATTCTGAATAATTGGTACGAGCAGATATAATTCTGAATAATCGGTACGGGCAGATATAATTCTAAATTATCGGTACAGGCAGATATAATTCTGAATAATCGGTACGGGCAGATATAATTCTAAATTATCGGTATGGGAAAATTTAATTCTGAATAATCGGTACGGGCAGATATAATTCTAAATTATCTGTATGGGAAAATGTAATTCTGATTAACCGGTAGGGGCAAATATAATTCTGAATAATCGGTACAGGCAGATATAATTCTAAATTATCGGTATGGGAAAATGTAATTCTGAATAATCGGTACGGGCAGATATAATTCTGAATAATCGGTACGGGCAAATATAATTCTGAATAATCGGTACGGGCAGATATAATTCTAAATTATCGGTATGGGGAAATGTAATTCTGAATAATCGGTACGGGCAGATATAATTCTGAATAATCGGTACGGGCAGATATAATTCTAAATTATCGGTATGGGCAAATATAATTCTGAATAATCGGTACGAGCAGATATAATTCTGAATAATAGGTACGAGCATATATAATTCTGAATAATCGGAACGAGCAGATATAATTCTGAATTACGGCTATATATATCGGTGGAGAAATTTAGTATCTGTGCATCTCTAATAATTATTATTAAAATTCATTAGTATACTTAATTGTATCTAATTATAATCATTATACAATTATTTTATTATTATTAATCATTAATCATTAAGGACATGAGGCAAAACTCGTGGTCTGGTGAGTGAAACTGACCTGTAGAGCGTCGTCTTCTTTGACCAGCTCTTTCTGGGGGAACAGGTCCCGGGCCTGAATATACTCCAGGCTGGGCGGTCCCTCCTCACCCTGAAAACACACAACACACATTATTAGATATCAACTTCATAAAACAAACAGTTCCAAATCACATGAATGTACATGAACTTAATACATGAATGCAAATGTACATGAACTTCATGCATGAGATACGAACATCGAGGGTCATATAATGGTGTCATTTAAACATGTCTGTCTAACTTGTGTAACTTCCTCATGCACACATATGGAGAGTGGAAACCTGTGTCTCTCATCTGACATTTACAGCAGTGACGTATCCGTTCTGCTCCGGTCAGAAAATACAATCAACCTGAGACGCTTGACTGATGGCGCGAGTGCAGGACAAATGAATAATTAGTTAGAGATGACAGAAAACCATAACAGCTGTCATCAGAGAAAAACATCAACCATATTCAATATGTACCAGCGTGAGTTATGAGCAATTACTGAATAATTGTTCATATGACGTGCTACCAATGAATGGATGAGAAAAATCAACAAGTTTTTTAAGACTGCAATCATTGATTTAAAAGGCAAAAAAAGAGCTCCAGATTTACTATGTTTGTACGCAATACGGATGCACAAAAAATCTGATTATTATTGTTATTCATTATTATTATTATTAAAACTATTTAGTAAATAAGAAATGACTTGTAAAATATAATTGAAATAATATTATAAAATAAATATTTAATGAAATACAATTTATTATAAAATAAAAATAAAAATATTACATTTTATATACAATAATAATATTGTTATTTACTATTATTAAAACTATTTTGCAAATAATAAAAGAAAAAATAATTATTTAACAACTATTTTTAATACTACATATATTAAACAAATATTATAATTTCTGATTAAATTTGTTTTATTTAAAAATATATTTTATTAAAACTATATTTGCAGATAAGAAATTACAATATTAAAAATATAATGGAAAAATCAATTAATAAAAAAACTAATATTATTTAAAAATAAAATGTAAAATGCATCTATAATATTATCTAAAAAAAAAAGCTAATTTAATATTTATGTCTTAATATCTTTATTTTTTTCAAATGTTAACCATCAAGCGTTTATTTGGCAGAAAACCACAGCTTCTTTCCTTTTTGGCAACAGTTACAAACACTTCTCATTACAAATTATTATTATTATAAACTTTTTTATTATAGATTTTAACACATATAATACAAAAATCTGTAGTAAATAAAACACTTGATGCTGTATATATATATATATATATATATATATGAATGTAAACACACACACACACACAGGACCGTGTGCTTCGACTAAACCAGCTCATTTCACACAATATTCATGCGCGTCAGAAACGGCTCTTCACAGGGTACGTGATCACCGGCATCTAGAGTGGATTAAACATTGATCTAAAGAGACCTTGAGCCGCCGTTCACATCACAAGATGAGGTGAAAGACCAGCAGACACAGGGGGAAGAAAAAAAAACCACACACACACTTTACAACATACAACAATCAAAGACATATTACACCGTGAAAAACATCTGAAGACTTCAACTAGAAAATGCAGGTGAACACAGTGTTCTGCAAGTTTCATCACTTCTTTCCACTTTGTGCAGCCGTTTGGGAATCAATTACCACACAGGACATGTTATGGTTACAAGTGAAACGAGCTTCAGCACGAGAACGCTTCGAGCACATCAGAGCCAGGTCACTGGACCGAGGAGTTACCAGGAGAAGACAAACATTACAGTCAGATGTACAGTTTATACATGATGCATGTACTTCAGAACATGCACAATAAGGCCAAGAGCTTTGTTTAAGAAAGTACTTTAATGCAAAAGTGACCCCTTAGGAGGACACAGCAATCTGAGGTCAAAAGGTCAAAGGGCAGATGAACGTCTGCGAAAAAGACCAAGTGGAATTTTGCATTTTGCAAGTTGATTTGAACTGGACTGGACTATTTAACATGTCAAACAAGAAAAGACTAATATATGCAAGGCACATATTCATATTATATGAAATTATTTTAAACAGCATTTTAGCTTTGTCCAGATACTGTCTCAAACATTTTATTTACTTAAAGTACCCATTCAAAAAAAAAAACATAAGTAGCATCTATATTTTAACATTGTAAAATATAAATAATATTAATTAATTGACTTTAAGGAGACTTTCTAATTTTAGTAATTTTGAGGCAAAAAAATTCCTAAAGTAATCTAGAGCCCGACCGATAAAGGATTTTGAAGGCCGATACCGATACAAATATTTTTGGGTTTTAAAATCCGATATTCCGATATATCGGCCGATATTTTTTTTATTTATATATTACATTTTGTCATGCTTATTTAAGGTAAGAGAACTGATGGGGATGTTTTTTTAATTGTTATTCCAGCAATGTATGTATCGTGACCAACTCAACGAGTGTTGCCAACAGGAACGGTGCCCTCTGGTGGACAAACTATACAACTCCAACACTCATGACATGGTTCAAGCGTGTTTCGTCCGTTTTTATTTTATTTTTGAAATATTCATTTATCAGCCATTATAACTGCCGATACCGATAGTTTGGAAAATGACTAATATCGGCCCGATATTATCGGACTGCCGATATATCGGTCTGGCTCTAAAGTAAACCAATATCCTGTATATTTTCAGCAGATTATATTTACAGTGGTTTGGCATTTGAATTTAGTGACTTTCACACTATAATAAAAAATTATTTAAAATTTTTAATGTCTGTCTGATAGGGATAGTTCACAAAAAAAGTGAACGTTATGTCATTTATGGCTTTCAAAGTCACATTAGAATATTCCTTTCTCAATTATTAAACAGTAAAATAGCATTTTTCTTTATTCTAATGTGACTTTGAAAGCCATAAATGACATAACGTTCACTTTTTTTTTAAGTCACGTGACGTATTATATACTTTGAGGTCTACATAGGTGTACCAGAGTAAAAAGCATTATTTTCACCTTGCTAATGCAACTAGACAAACTACAGATTCCTCAAATTTACACCTTTCATACCGTTGTTTCTGGGAAGGTTTTGGTGTGTGTTGTATACTTTATCAGTAGGGAGAGACAAAGAGCAAATGACCCAGACACACACTCCGTCTACGACGTCCCGCAGTCACACACACACACACCCCGTCTACCACAACCAGATGGACAGAGGACACCTCTGTAAGTGTGTGTGTGTAGAGTCTCTTAATTGTAACCCGACTGGCACAACAGCAGCCGAACCAGCTGTGCCGTGAAACACACACACACACACACACACACACTCTCAAAATAGACTGGACAGATTCAATCAGGCTTTTAAACATCACACACAACAGTTTTAGTAACCAATACTTAAACGTTTAAAGTTGGCATTAAACAGAAGTTGCACTAGTCTTTTCATCCCTATTGTGGCGTATACAAGATACAAGAACAAATGTGGGCGGGGCTTGATTTTGTGTGTGGGGAATTGATTGGATGGTGGTGGTTTGCTATTGGTTGATCACATGTGAGTGACAGGTTGCCCCACCCTCACTAATCAGAGAAGAGATGAGATATTTTGATTAAAGACTGAGGCACATGAATTTTAAATAATGATGTGCATAGATACATCATTTCTAATAAATGCTGCAAAATATTAAAATATATATATATAAAAAAATAAATAAAAAAAAACAGGAACTGTCATTATGACTTTTGGTCGCCCAAATCTGGAATATTTGGAGACATGCTTGGATTCACCATAGAATAAATAAAGAATATTTAGATGCAAGTTTATACACAACATCATAAATGCTGAAATCAACTTCAGTTCATGAGATTTTCAGACACACTGCATTAGATCAGAAATATGGATTTAAAGAAAATCACTGTGCAATACTTTGATATAAACTCATGACTGAATTATAAGCTGTGTGAACTATTGCTCCGAATGATGCCAGTCTGAAGGGGAAAAGGATGTTCCCGATGAGCAGAGTGACAGGAGAGGTCAACACCGGTCACACACACACACACACACACACACACAAAATAACAACTAGCAGAATCTGACAGCATTTAAGATGTGACATTTATGATTTAATATCGTAAACAAGGCAGAGGTGGTGCTTTTGCCCATAGAAGCTCGCCTCACACAGCTGTATGAACACATGCCACACTCCCAGAATCCCCATGGGTTTACTCCCACAATTCCACGGGGCAGACGGTGGCATGTTGCTATGGCAGCACTGTTTGATATTTGTGATGAAGACACAGAGATCATGATGTTCACACGAGAACTGAACTGCCAGTCATCTAACATTATTTCTGTATCTATCTTTATTCAGAGTGAATAAATAAAAATACAATTCTTTACAACTGTTTCACAAGATGACTGAAGATTTTCATATTAAATATGTTATGTATAATTATTACAATTACAAAACATTGCAGTATAAAAGTCTACCATCTCTAGAAATAGATATATCTATCAATCCATCCATCTATCCATCCATCATTCCATCTATCCATCCATCCATCGTTCCATCTACCGTTTCATCCATCATTCCACCCATCCATTGTTCCATCTATCATTTCATCCATAGTTCCATCCATCCATCATTCCATCTATCCATCCATCCATCGTTTCATCTATCCATCCATCCATCAATCATTCCATCTATTCATCGTTCCATCTTTCCATCCATCCATTGTTCCATCCATCCATCGCTCCATCTATTGTTTCATCCATCATTCCATCCATCCATCACTCCATCAATCCATCCATCATTCCATCTATCCATCCATCCATCGTTCCATCTATCCATCCAATCGTTCCATCTATCCATCCATCCGTCCAGCCATCCATCCAATCATTCCATCCATCATTCCATCTATCCATCGTTTCACCTATCGTTCCATCCACCCATCACTCCATCCATCCATCCATCGTTCCATCTATTGTTTCATCCATCCATCCATCATTCCATCTATCCATCGTTCCACCTATCATTCCATCCACCCATCACTCCATCCATCCATCCATCCAATCGTTCCATCTATCCA